AAAGTGCCTAGCCGCAGGGCCATCAGAAACTTCGCCGGCTCAGACCCTCCCAAACGGGCATCGCACCCTCACCTTGGGTGTACTTCAGAACTGTGAGGTGCCAAATCCTTTTCTGTTCAAGGAGATTGGCCAACTCAGTGCCGCAGTAAGCCTTCCCATCCACTTCAATGATGCGGTCCAGCACCTCAAGGGCATCGTGGCTATGGCTTTTGCGTTTGGCATTCCACTTCGCCATCTGCCCTGAGCAATCAAGGTCTTGAATTACGACTCCAGCTGATTTGTCTGTGGAAGCCAGGGTCATGCCCATGTTGCCGGTCTTCTCCACAGAAACTTGGATCTTTCTGGGACGTTTGAGGGTCAAAAACATCTTCTCAGGCAGTTTGCTCGTCATTTTCTTCTGAATGCCTTCCCAGCGTTTTGTTCCGTCAAGAGCCAGCAAGACATCAAAGGGCAATATACCTGAATCCTTGTAAACCTTGTTGAATTCCTGGACGGCTCCTTCCTCTATTCTCAAAATCATAGGCGCTCTTGCGTCTGTCAAGTCCAGTTGCAAACCCAAAGTGGCGAAGTTCTTCGTTGGCACCACCACTGTGAAGGTCGAAGCTTCTTCTTGAGTCAAAATTTTGGGTGACGACATCACGAGTTCCGGTGCCTCCATCTGGATACAAATCTCCTGAATTTCGGAGTTTGGAAGGACCACTGGATCTGCAGACATGCAACAGGCCAACATCATCCACGGACGGGACCTAGCAAACCTGCCGCCTGGCCCTAGAACATTTGAGCCAACTTTTGCCAGCATTTGAACTACTTACTACTTTCATTTCAAAAACATGGTGCCGAGCATTTGAGGGGCTCAGGACTGTCGTCACTTTTCAAACATTTTCTACGGGGGGAGTGAAAATGCTCAAAAACGAAACTTTAGTATCGTCAGCAATATCAACATCAACATCATCACCACCATCATCATCATCATACAGTGAGAACATACAGCAGCGTAGAATGACGCATGTGTAGAAGTGCAAGAGAATCTACAGCGTAGCATGACGTATGTGTGGAAGTGCAAGAGAATCTACAGCGTAGCATGACGCATGTGTAGAAGTTCAAGAGAGCCTACAGCGTAGTATGTCGTATGTGTGGAAGTGCAAGAGAATCTACAGCAGCGTAGCGTGACGCATGTGTAGAAGTGCAAGAGCACCTACAGCATAGCATGATGCATGTGTGGAAGTGCAAGAGAATCTACAGCAGCGTAGCATGACAAATGTGTGGAAGTGCAAAAGTACCTACAGCCTAGCATGACGTATGTGTGGAAGTGCAAGAGAATCTACGGCTTGGCATGACGCATGTGTGGGAGCGCAAGAGAACCTACAGCGTAGCATGACGTATGTGTGGAAGCGCAAAAGAATTTGCAGAAGTGTAGCATGACGTATGTGTGGATCTGAATGAAATACAAGAGAGCGTACAGATATGTTACGTTGCATCACATATGTATGGACATGCAAATGACGTTATTATCCCACCCCACCCCACCCCACCCCACCCCCCCACACAATGTTATTTTCAGAGTAGATGCCCGGCACCAAAAACATGCTGTTTAATCAATCAGTTGCTCAATGCTAACTTTTGCCATCCTTGCACCATTCCATGTTGACATGTCGCCTGAGTGAGGGTGGATATTCAGGCCTTGTCACATGCTGCGGCAATCGCATTGGCAGTGATCAGATCTGGCCTTAAAAGAGGGCCACAATCCCTTTCTCAGTCTGTTCCAATCACAAAAAGCCATGGGTTGTGTGCCAGTATGTCGAGACTTCTTTGTTCAAAGGGCTTGACTTGATTGAGCTCATCATTCCAGTTGCCTGTTCCCAGCCTTATAGCTCTGCACTCACAAGTTCACACCCAAGGCAATGTCATGCTTGCAAAAATACGGTCTAGCAGTCTAGCAGTCTAGCATGCACTTGGAGATGCTTATATATGCTTTACCACGGGTTCCTTCTTGAATTCGTTTCGTTCGTTTCCGTTCAATACAGGACAATGGAAGCACAAGCCCTTGACATCCGCTGAAGGACTTGAGCAATGAATTCGTGGTGGCCAGGTTGGAGTGGAGAGCCTTAGAGCCGGGCACACCTAGACATCCTATGAATTCCTACGATCTCCTATGATATCACTGGTATCCTTGATGAATGCGATTCGTTGCAGCATGTCGCAGCAACTTTGAAAATGGTTGGGGTTGGCCAAAGTAGCTCCCCAAAAATCCCCAAAAAAGCTTGGTCGCCCCGACCCTGCAAGCCATCAGTGCTGCGAAGCCAACGGCCTGAACACCGGATATCTTCAAACCCAAGGGTAGACGCATGGAGAGATAGACCATGCCAAATCCTACCATCAATTGACGTCAATTTGGGGCAAATATACGAAGCTTAGCTTTCAAATTGGCTTTGCTACCATTGTTCTCCCATGTTCTCACTAGGGTTCATAAACCCAAGGTGGGTGAAAATGGTTGGAGCATACCATGCCATTGATGAAAGAGGTGATGCACTGATTATTGTGAACTCTGCAAGGCGGCGCACTGCAAAGCTCAAGCGTTTTCCGCCACCTGCATGGCGTTAGCCAGTTTTGGATCCAGGCCTGTACACAATGGGCATTGGGCCGAAAGGTTTCGGCCAGCATGGGAAATCGCAAGTGCTGTGACATGCTTCCATATCATCACTGTCAACCAACAGCGTTCTCAGCAGATTCTATTTCTTTCTTGACAGAGGATGGTTTTGGTTGGAAGATAGTCACAAGCACGTTCGGCACAGCTCCAATCAGGGCGTTTCGGTTGGGAAGCTGGCCATATTCTATTCGGTTCTCCAATCTACGCCATTCAGCCTGGCCGGATTTCAAATCAAACCTGCCAAAGCTACTACGCAGTGGAAATTCACTAGGGCTAAATCGTGGAGAGGGTGTCCTAAACGATTTGGCATCCTTGGCAACTTGTATTGCCATGTCGTCTTTCTGATGCCAGCCGAATTGGTTTCCTAAACGCAGCAAATGGTGAAAAACTGCAAAAGAGCAATCTAACGCTCACCAATCGTCGGAAGGACAGCAGCCGGATTCCCTTCTTGGATTTGATTCTGTTTGATAAACTCCTGGTTGTAGCGATAGCTCCAGCGGCATTCAGAGAGGATACGGTGAAGGTGCTCTGTGGACATCTCTTTCGTTCCACAGTCTACAAACATGTTCTCAGTATTGGTCCACCTCAAATTGGTCTGCTCTTTCGCCAGCTGGGTGCGAATCCAAGCCATTCTAAAACACAGGCTCTTTTGGCTTCCAAAAGAAGGTGTATCTGAGGTCCCCTTGTCATAGCAACCTTTACCACTTACAAGGGAACTGTCTCCAGCACTGCATCGATCTTTCTGCCCTTAATGTCCTTTCCTCGCAACTCACACAAAGCGCCTCGGCAAAAGGTTCCAACGTCAAGGGCCTCTTCCGTGGAGTAGAGCTCGGCCGCAAATGTCGACCTGCACACACGGATAATGCGCTGTGACCTTGCATCAAGGATTGCAAAGTTTCCTCTCACCCTTCATCCGTTTCCCATCAGCAACCAGCACATAGTATGAGAACTGGCTATACAAACTCTGGAAAAGGGATCTTCTCCCACATTGCCTTGACGTGTCACGTTTCCCAAACTCGCATCTGCAACAACCACGATGCCACAGTTTGTCAGGTCAAACGGTTTGAACCAAAGAGCAAATGTTGGAAACTCTTTGGAACGCTTCACGATGGCATTCGCTTTCATGAGAGTTGCTACCACATGAGGCTCAGACTGGGGTGTTGACAACTGAAACTGAAGCTCAAAACGAAGTTGAGCTACCAGCCACTGCATGGAACCAAGAAAAGCTCGAAGTTGTTTGGCTTCAGTCGGATCCAAAGGTGACATAGGTTCCTTCCTCCTGCCAACTGAGATGACAACAGGCTGCAGATTCTTGTGGTACTCAACCATCTGAATTTTGATCACTCCATCGCTGTCTTGGGAAACGCGCTTGCCGCAGTAAGTGAAGCTGTCTCGCTCGAGACTGCCAAAGCCTAACTCTTTGCATAAGTCTTCCAGAGAGCGTTGTGCCCTTTCATTTCCACCAAGCAACAAGTCATCCACATAGCTACAAAGGATACCGCATAGCTCGCCATGCTCATCCCACAACAACCAGCATGCAGAGTCCAAATGACACTTCACCCAACCACGCTCTTCAAGGGCGCAAGATAAACCATTGTCTCGGCGCATCGCTCAAACCAAACACGCCTTTTCTGACTCGGCAAAGGCCTTCTCCAAAAGAAAGTCTCGGTTCATCTGGGTCGTTGGTGCGGATGTTAGCAATGTACAGCTCACGAGCACCAGCCATGCAAGCATCTCCTTTCAAGAATGCAGCTTTGACATCTGCACCCAACAGGCGCCAACCTTTTCCATACAAGCAGCTTGTGAAAATCAGCAGATGTTGTGATGTCCTGCAGCATGTTGGTGCATCTTTGCGGATGGTATAGGCTGTCACATCCCGAAATCCACAACCAAACGTGCAGAAGCATGGATAGGGAGGTCATTGTCAACGGTGCGGGCTCCATCATTCTGGTCTGTGTGGACGAAACGTGGGTACGGCACCTTGGACGTTTCGTTCTTGTTGCGCAACTCACGCCACACCAATTTTGTCTCCTCAGGGCTCAGGAGCTCAACAGCATCATTGTTCACCCAAGCTGACCATCCTACCACAGCGGCTTTCTTGAACTCCGCCTTCTGCTTTGCAGACATCGTCCGCCAGTGATATTCTTGTCTGGCTGCTTGCACTGCAGCAACTTCAATTTCCTGACGGCCTGTCGGCCATGCCAAACCCAAAGTGCTGCGGGTCTCCCAATCTGAAACCATCGGGCAGCCCAACGTCCATCCCAAGTGCCATGATCTTGAAGTTTCACTCGGTCAGGATCTTTGCGATCGAGTTCAGCTAAGGCTTGAAGATGCAATAGAGGATGAACATCTGAATTCAGCATGAGGCAGCTTCCAAGATCTCGTTGGCACCCAACTGCAATGCATCATGAGGTGCAGCTGGAACCGATGGGACATCAGACGTTCCCGCATTAGCAGACTGCTGATGGAGATCTTCTACATCAACTTCAGGAGGACGCTTCTCCCCTTGAGTTTGTTCAGCATCAAGGTCAAGGGACCTAGCTCTGCGCATCAGTGGTTGAAGACGCCATTGAGCATCTGCTCTAGGGTGACGAATCACATGCTGCATAGGAGTTCCAGGAGCAGCAGTAGGTGTTTCACGGCTCAAACCAGAAGGCGCTGGCACAGAGGAAATCATTTCGCTTTGCTCTTCCACTCTGCAACGCTGCAGCCAGCTCACTGGGTTAAACATCAGGCAATGGTTCAACAGCAGCGCCAGCAATTGGCGTCTGAGGCTGCAACAATTGCTCCTCAGGAGTCTCAGCGCTAGGAATGCCAGCACTAGTCATGTCCTGAATGACCTGCTCAACGCACTCCTCAATGGCATCTCTCCAAGTAGAGGCTGCAATCTCCTCCATTGTCGAAGCACGTCTGACATGTTCGACAGAACAATTGACCCTTGTAGCTCAGGTACATGTTCGTTCGCACCTTCTCTTTCCACAACCAAAGCAGGACCATGCCACCTTTTCAACGTCAAACGCTTCTTGGTGGGCTGGTTCCGATTGTTGTACTTCTGAAGACGCCAAAAATAAGCCATGGCACCAGGCTCGGGGACATCATCTTCGGTCGTAGCCCGGGATCTCGCCAACTCACTTCGGCGGATGCTTCGAGAGAAGTGCAACCTTGTTATGGCAAGTTTTGCGGTCTTCCCGCAGGGCCATTGGTCGTGCCATTGAAGGGTTTGTGTCAATGAGCCCATGTTCGGCTAGATGCTGAGAAAAGCTTCCCAACACATCACCAGTCATGCGAGGCTGTCTGCCAAGTGCCGCCTGACTGGGACTCACGCCAAGCTCATTGATATCTGACTTGTAAGCTCCAACAGCTTCTCCAAGAGCTTCTTCCAATTCCTCAAAGCCTTGAACTTGGTGAGCATTGACCAAACAGGTAAGGACGACACGTAAGGTGCCTCCGGCACGTTCACAAATGCCATTTTGCCATGGAGATCCACCGCCAATAGCCGGTCGGTGTGGTGTCTACAGGAGTACTCTATATCTCTCTTGAACTCCGCAATGCCAGAGCAGGATGCTGTGTCCAGCACAAAAATCTAGCAAGCTCATGACTGATGAATTCGCGGCCCTGATCTGCTACCAGCGTCCTGGGACTTCCAAAAACAGGAAGCCAACGCTTCTTCAAAAAGCTGATGACATTGGCCGCGGTCTTCCTTGGCAGTAACTCCGCCAGCTGAAAACGAGTTGCATAGTCAATCACATGAACTGCAGTGTACTTTGTGCCATTGGAGTCGTACACATCGATCAGGTCAATGTTGGCCTGGTCGCCAGCGTCCTTCGGGAGAGGCAACGACGCTGGTCGTCTTGTCTTAGGCTGTCGCCTTTCACGGCAAACATCGCAGCTGTGGTGTTTTGCTGCATGGACGGCCTCAGCTGGAGCGCCAGAGATTGCAAGTGCACGGGCAAGTCTGTGGATGGCCCGTGTTCTCGTGCAACCGCTTGATTGCTGCTTTCAGGCCAGCAGACACCTTCATCTTGGGATGCTCTTCATCAGCGGATGACGCTGACTCATCTTCACCAGCCGGCCGGCCAAGGTTCAATGATTCATCATCATCTGCCAAGTCAACTCTTCAACTGCAAAAACTAAAAACATCTTTGGGCTTTGGGGCCTTGTCATACTCAATCTTGAACTGCTTCTCAAAACCGTCAGCCAAAAGTTTCGCCAAGCGCTTCGGATAGTGTCCGGTGGGACCAGTGATGTTCTCGCCACCGATCACAGGTTGATGAGCATGATCGCCTGGGCAGAACTTCCCATCCAAAAGTCTGCTTAACTTGCAATCCAACTTGATGACGCAGTCTTGGTGGCCTTGCGATGAAGCCCAAGATTTCCACGCAAACCAAATCTGCATTGATGGAAGCAAGCAAGATGGTCATCCAGAAACTTCGTCATCTCCGGATGTTTCCAAGCCCCACCCGGCTGAGGATTCTCAAGCATGCAGCGCCTGCCGCCCTCAAGTTGGATGGCGGCCAACTCAAGCGCAAACTTCAGCAGAACTTCGCCCTCAGCTTGAATCTTCTCAAGGCTCACCTTGGAATTCAAACGAAGCAAAGGGCTCCAAGGCCCGCAAAGAAACGCAATCATCAAGAAAAATGGTTTCTCGGTCAGCAGCAACAAGAAAATTGAACCCAGTTTCCAAAGACATTGAGGTGCCAGTGCAATGCCCACGGCGAGCTGCTTCTCGGCTCACCCGTTGAGTGTGGGTGCACACTTCACCCACAAGGGGCCGCTTAGAGGACAAATCCCTGTTCCGGTATGGCCAGATCCTCCTCCTATTCTGCAAGAACCTCCTGCTCAATTCCCTCTCCAGCATGTGCAGCGTTTGATGGCCGAGCAGGAGGCCAAGTTCCAAGGGATGCTCTCACAACTGTTTCAGCACGTGATGGCTATGCAAAACAATCAGATGATGCCTTCTCTTTCCTCGGATCCTCCAGACGCTTCCATGGAAAACTAGCCGACACCCGCTCAGAGAGATGCGGACTTGGAACGTCGGATGAACATGGGGGGAGCAGCGCAATTGACCAAAGAAGAGGTAGCCGATAGCCCAAATCAATGCAGATTATCAACGAGAGCAGTGGGAGCAAAGAGCAGTATACCAGGGGGAGCATCGTTTGCCAACGAGTTCATGAGCTGAATGAAGGTGGAAATGAATGGTCGGTGAATTGACCGAGAAAGAATGGTTTGGCAAAGATGATCTCTCAAGCTTGGGAGCAACATGAGAAAGACCGACGTTTGATTTCACGGTCTCCAAAGGAAGTTTTTGAGGTTATTTTGGCTTTGGCACTTTTCGGCATGCTTTCCATCCAAAGGTCCACGGCTGGACGGCACTTTTCTCGCAACATTGCATTGTTATCCTTCGCGCTGACATCCAAGTGAAGGAGGGCTGCAAGTTTCAGAAGGTCTTGGCAAAGGGTTGGAAGTCCTCCGCGTGGTCCTACCAGCTCTCGCACGGCAATCTGTTGCTTCCCAGCGTCTTTCGCCTTCTTGGCCTCCTCTTTGGCTTCCATCAGCGCCACAGATTGGATCCTGTGGCAGATACCTTTTGAAGCGCGTGCCGCCAGCATGCCCGCAAGCAAGGGGTCCTCCATGAATGCCATCTCAAAACCCATGCGGTTTCTCAGGTATGTTGCATCTTTCAAGAGAAAGCTCAAGCTGGGGTGCCTTCCCCGCAGGTGCATTCGCCATGTGAGAGGACGCAAGGGCTTGGGACAAGGAAGCATTGAGAGGCACGTGCGCAGAGGAAACAGCATGTACTTCATGAGGTTCAGCATGTTCATCAGGAGACAGGGAAGAGGGAATCAAACACTCCGCATACATGGACTCAGAGATCATGACCTGTTTGCCACCACCTCGCTTGGCATCTTTGCGCCCCAATCCAGCGCCAAACCTGACGTTTGGTGCGCTCCTTGTCTCCCTTCCAGTGTCCTGGAAGTCCGCAGTCAAAGCAAGTTGAGGTAGATTTGGCACGGTTCACTTGGTTTCCATGAGGCTTCGAAGATCTGTCACCACCACTGCTGCTGCGGCCATAGCCACGATCACGTTTCATCTCGTTGATCTTGTCGCGGGCTTCACGCATGGAAACGAACGCCTCAGCAGCATTTTCAACACCAGCTTCTAACTCCTCCAACAACTCAGGCTCAGCGCCTTCAGCCTCAAGGTTTTCCAAGTCAGACGCAAGCAAGCGGCTTCGGCTTGAAGCACTTCTTCCAAAGAAGCTTCTTGCTTCTCCACATCATCAGGTATCAGCTCTTCTTCAACATCCTCAGCATCTTCGTGAACATCGGCTTCCGCAGCAAAAGCTTGTCTACCCTGTCCACTGCTGACATCTTCGATTTTCCAGAAAAACGTGAAGACTCCGACACTGAAGAGGCAGATGACTTGAAGGGACGATGCAATGAGGAGCCAGTAGAGGAAGAAGCAAAGGTTGACGGTCTCCCCGGGCGAAGAACTAGAACTTGCAAGAAACCTGTGCATCAAACTCGGCTTACCATCTGCATTGCCAAAACTCCTTTGCTGAAGAGCGTCCGCAGAGTGAAGGTCCTTGAAGAGTCTTAACACTTCTCGCTCCACTGAGTCATAGTCCTCCACACCACCTAAGGCAGTTTCTAACAGTTGTTTGCGGATCCCATCCAGCCCAAGCCCTTCACACAGGAACCAACCTTGTTCCGCTGCAGGAAGTTGAATACCTTCCGATCGCAAGTCAGCAGCTAATGTTCGAAAACGTGTGCAAAACTCACTGATTCTTTCTCCAGGTCTCCGCTTCAGGGAATTGCAAAACTGCTCACGCAATTCGCCCTTCTTATCCAGTTCACTCTTCCCATTGATACCTTCTAGGCCATCCAGGAGGTCCAGGAGTTTATTCAATCCATACAGCGGGTCCGCTTCTTGCAGAACAACTTCGGTGTTGGTGTCAGGGTCAACACCTTTCACAGCTCTCTTCGCCTCAAGCTCTTTGGGGGTGAATTCTTCGCCTCTCTGACGCACTACTTCAAGATTGTCTCAGCAACCACCTCGCAGCCAGGTTGTATTTCATCGACTGTTCAAGGTCTAATGATTCAACCCACCATGACATCTCTCTTCTGAAGGCTTTCCATGTAGCCGGCGATCCATCCCATGTAAGAACACGATACCAACTGCTCGTGCCCTTGTCTTCCTTGATGGCCCAAAATGGGCTTCCAGCAAGCGATGCTCGTCTTGAGCACCACGAAAAGGTAAATTCGCAAAAACAAGCTTCCAGACAGCACCGCAGGTTCAGCCAGAAATGAAACAAAGCTCACGGTGTCTACTGACACTAGTTCTCAAAGTTTTAAAACTGAAGAGAATGCAGCCGTACACCAGGGGTAGCCAACAGGGTGTTTTCAATCCAGTCCCAAGTCCTCACTCCAGCAAGAAGTTCGCAACGTAGGAATGAAAGGGCCACACCAGGTTAGCAGCAAAGCGGAGAGATCAAAGGCAAATGCGCAAGCTCGATGCCAAAGGTCCACGCTGCAAAGACTCCGGCTCCGGTACCATTGTGAACTCTGCAAGACGGCGCACTGCAAAGCTCAAGCATTTTCCACCACCTGCATGGCGTTAGCCAGTTTTGGATCCAGGCCTGTACACAATGGGCATTGGGCCGAAAGGTTTCGGCCAGCATGGGAAATCGCAAGTGCTGTGACATGCTTCCATATCATCACTGTCAACCAACAGCGTTCTCAATTATGTACTGGGCTTACACTGCCAGTGCCAATGGTCAATGCCTGACTCCAATGACTGCTCTGGGAGTAGCTGTTGGAGCTGGCTCCAAATGCCACCGCATCGGCTCGAAGAGAAAGCTCACTAAAGCAGTAGAGCAAGTGCGTCCTGGTCAGACAACGACTGTTCTCATCAATTCTCATCAGGAGTGTTTTAATGGACGTTTGGACCCCTCTCTTTACCAGAACAATTAATCCTCTCTCTGGGTATTTTTGACAGATCTGCGAGGCGGAAGTGAACGAACACCTCAATCCTTCCCTGGCATCCATTTTGAAAATGTCTTTTCCACACAAATTTCTACCCCAATAGCAGGACTGGGCATCCGAACCCCCAACGCCATTCTCCAAGACCGGCTATCATGGCCCCAAAGATGACTTCATCAGGTTGGATGTCACGGCCTAAATTCATACGTCCAACGTGTCCAGCATTTTGTGTTAGCCGTGTTGCACCAACTCTCCGTCTAGCAAGTTCTTGGCAGGAATCCTGCAATGGGACTGATGGGCTGCGATCTACAGCACAGCACTATGCCAAGCTCCCAGCACTCCATCGTGTCAAGCAAAAACGATCCTGACTGGATGTGCAGGGATGATTTCTATTGATTTCTCCCATCCATCGCCATGCTTTGGAAGCGTTCAGATTGCACCCCGCCTATTTGCCAGTGAAGTGACAAGGCCAGTGGGTTCATGGCAGAGGTGTAGGTTGTAGCATCAGCGGCATTGTGACACCTGGCCTCAAATGGGAAAAAATTGAATAGACTTTTCTATCTTCTGAGGGAAAACTTGCTGACATTCTGCCAACTGCCTTGTTCATCTCGTTTCCTCTCTGAGAGCCTCACTAGAACGTGCAAGGATCTTGGCCAGGAGCTCCCAAAGGTGCCACCGCCAAGGAAAGTGTTGTATGAAACCTCGCTGCCGCCATCATCTCTGTAGAACTCCAACTCATGATTCTTGTAGGAGGCAAGTCTGAAGGCATTTGATGTGCTTGGGCTTTCACAATGTCGGGAGCCAATGACAGCTGAGGCGCCAAGTAGATACAGCCTGGACAAGTCATTGTCCCAAGGGAGCTTAACTGGGAATGAGATGATTTTCAATATCTATCTGCTGGGAAGTCAGCTCAATCCATGCTCCCACTGACCGCTGGCACACCATGACTTCAGAGCAATATTGAGCCTCAGAATTGCCATCCTTTGTTAAGGGTTTCTTTAGCACAGCGAACAACCTCCAACAAAACAGTGCACTGTCTCCACGTCAATGAGAAGCAGAAGACTCGCTGCAGGAGACCGAAAAAGGTCAGGACGCCACCACGTCTTTCATTCCGTAGGCAGCCAAGCTCCTGCAAACTCTTTCTAACACTATCTGTGCTCAAGCCTAACATTGCATGTATATGCGGGGACCTGTTCTCATCTGCACTAGGTGCACGGCCTCAATGACTGCGTCCACCTTTGGGCATGGGCAGATGCTGCAACCATGTTGATGGCGATCTGGTTCGGGCGAAGCGCCTGCATCAGCGAACCACCACTTTGCTGTTGTTCTCCAGGCCTGTAGCCATAAAACATGACTGGGTAGAACGGATCGACCAACACCTGCCTTCGCCCTCATGCGATGCAAAGAAGAAAGAGCCCCTTGCCAGTGCCGGCGTAGAGCGCTTTGCTTGATAAAGCCTCCAGGGCGGGTGCTTCCGGTCAGTCACAACTGGCCAGCACTAAATTAAAAACTCCGACCATCCAAACGGTCTAGCTTAACCTAACGAAATCATACATTTGCATGTTGACAATGCTCAGTTGATCAGCTGTCTGTTGCGGTCTTGGGCCTCCCCATTCTTTGGCATCCTTGAGGTTGCGTCGGTTCCTAGCCTGGCAGCCTTGGTGAAACAAAGATCTGCTTTCAGTCTGGTACAGTGTCGTTCAGAATCCTGGACTCTCAGGAAGCATGTAACGCATGTAAGTCGACTTGTTCTTTTACATCTGCAACTGAGATTTTGTAGCCTTGCTTGCACATCAAAGCCTGACAGCTCCAGTGGTCCAGGGAGCCAAGCAAAAAAACAACTCCGAAGCAAACTGGGCAAAGTCAGCATTTGGCAGAGGTCACGATTGCAAACCCGCCTGCGAATGGCTGCTGCAGACTCAGGAACGCTGGTTACCATCGCTGGCGGCACAATTCTGACGGGCACTTTTTGGCGCAGTGCTTGAGTCCCAATAGCCATAAACACTTTCTGTGCGGCATGCTGCAGAAATGCTCAGCCGAAACAAAATGCAAAGCGAATCGTTTTCATGAACCGATGAGAAGCTCAGGCTGCTTTGGCTTTGGCTTTTCCCTTGGCTTTGGCCTCCCAACGTCCCAACGGAGCAAGTCTGTGTCTCTGAGCCTTCAGCATACTCGGCTAGGAATCAACTGGAATGCCTTCGCTTTCGCGGCTGCTTTTGGTTTCCCACCACCTCTCGGCAAGGAAATGGATGGCAATGGAAGTCTGTAGCCAAACCAAATATTGCATCGCCACCTATCACTCAGCCATTGCCTGTGCAGTCCCTAAGGGCACACCTAGTGCAAACTTCTCAATTTTGATGCCAAGCTTGCCCTCCAAAAATTTCAAAGCTTCCGTGCAGTCCTGTGCCGCCGCAGAAGCTTCAAGAATTCTGTGCTCAGGACATGAGAAGCCCTGCTCCTCTGTTGGACCTCGCATACTAATGTCGTTGTCGGGGATGGCGTGGGCCTGAAAAATGTGAGAGCAAAGCAATGTTTATTTGTGGAATCTTGTGGCTGCACATTGAACATCATGAAACGAACTCATTTCGATCCGTCTTATTCAAAGACGCACAAACGAAAGCCTGCACAAATCCACGTTTCAATGGACCAACTCCTTCCCAAGTGCACTCGTACCAATGGCCCATGACCTGGCTCAGCAGGTGATCAAATGTTGTTCACAGCATTTCGTGGAAACTCCCATTTCCAGCCTCGACATCAGTTCCATCATCCAAATAACCCAAGGAGTTCTTCCCCTCATCCTGGCATCTTATTCAGGAAATGCATAGAAATGTGAGCAGTAGGAGGCATTGGTTGAGTGCCAGCATTGCACCTGAATAGCTTTTTCCCTGACCAGGACACTTCCATGGCCATTTGCTTCTTCGAGCTTTGCCTGCAAGGCTGAAGCGGCTGAAGCACTCAGCATCACCGAATCCAAATCATCCAGACGCTGTGTTTGTCTGCTTTGACTTAGCTCTGCGAGCCTTGTTTCCCAGCAGGGTCTTCAAGTGCTTTGCTTTGATGAAACCAGGTGGAACAGGACTCTTTTTTGAACCTCAAGCACCACAAGACCAGGGGTCAATCATTCGCTGAGCAACCTAGTCAACATCACGGAGTGCGCCTCGACAAAGCACCCACTCGTCATCAATCTTCACCTACACAGCATCAAACGACACAAAGCCCGCCGATGGCCATGGAGCCCTTGGAGCTTCGCGGCGCTTCGCGGCGCTTCGCGGCGCTTCGCGGCGCTTCGCGGGGCTTCGTGCCTTGTGACTCGCTGGAAGGTGCGCAGCGATGTTCTTTTTCCCAAAAACCATCGGCTTCCCTGCAGTGATGGCCTGCACTGGCAGCGAAGCATCCCGGTGGCACTGGGACTTGTCAAACAGCGAGGCCTTTAAAGCTGCTACCACCATCATGATGGTGACCTGCATTGTTGACGAATCTGAATAAGGGACAGAAAACATGCCGCAAAATTGCCGCAACCTTTGCCTGCTCACCAGGCTCGGGTATTTTGAGTTCCTGGGGTCAATGAAACATGCTGAAGTGAGCTGCCTTGGCATAAAAACCTATAACATATTATGTATATATATATATATATCTATATCTATCTATCTATCTATCTATATCTATATCTATATCTATATCTATATCTATATCTGTGTGTGTACATGTACACATAACTTATGGAACTGCCCATACGTAGCTCTCAAGATGCTGAACATCCGCCTGAAGGTTCTCCAAGCTCAAGATGCAACAAGAGCTTGGAATGGTTTCTTGTAAGATCGGTTAAAGGGAACAAACCAAAAGAATTAGCATTGCTTTCAATGTACCAAATTTTCCAAACATGTCAAAATATCATTTCATTTAACGGGGATGGGAACGAACCTCATTAAGCCCGTCACCACATTTTCCGGGAGATCTTTCTTCAGCTCTGCCAGTTGCTTCCGCAGCCTCGGGTTAAAGCCAAAGGCATGAATCTGATGAATTCAAATTCAATGAACGAGGAATCTTCACACTGAATCGCAAACATATATAGTACTGTAAGTATATATACATATGCAAATACAAATATGTATATATATATATTATATATTATATATATATATATTATATATTATATATATATATATTATATATATTATATATATTATATATATATATTATATATATATGCAAATACATATGCATCTACATGCGCATGCACATGCAAACGCACATCCACATACACGGTACCGGCGCTGATAGCGGACCCGGTGTTTTTAATGACCTTTATTTCAAGCACTATGTATGGATTTGTTTAAAACTGTGGCGCCGTGACGATTTTGTTATTTTACCCAGAATTAAAAATGTTGTTTTCGTCCCACGTTACGCTAGGAATTTATTCGTTGATCATTGAATTCTATTGGGATAAATAATTGACAAATGTGGATTTTGGAAGACGAAACCTCCACAGCTCTTGAAGCTCGACTTTTTCCTTCATGGATTCAGCGTTTGCGTTTGCTGAACTTTGCACACAAGTTGGCGAGGCTTCCTTTCAAGTCTTCCTTGTGGTTCCAACGATTAGGCGAAGGACCACACATATTGTTGGATCCTTTGAGAATCCTTCCTGGTAACTTTGTCTTTGCTATGGACCGAGAAGGGTACAAAGTGACAAGAGACATGTTACAGCGTAGCATCCAGAGCGTCTGGAAAGTGACAAGAGACATGTTACAGCGTAGCATCCAGAGCGCCTGGCACGTGACAAGAGACATGTTACAGCGTAGCATCCAGAGCGTCTGGCAAGTGACAAGGGAATTTTACAGTGTAGCATCCAGAGCATCTGGCAAGTGACAAGGGACATGTTACAGCGTAGCATCCAGAGCGCCTGGCAAGTGACAAGAGACATGTTACAGCGTAGCATCCAGAGAGTCTGGCAAGTGACAAGAGACATGTTACAGCGTAGCATCCAGAGCGTCTGGCAAGTGACAAGAGACATGTTACAGCGTAGCATCCAGAGCGTCTGGCAAGTGACAAGAGACATGTTACAGCGTAGCATCCAGAGCGTCTGGCAAGTGACAAGGGACATGTTACAGCGTAGCATCCAGAGCGTCTGGCAAGTGACAAGAGACATGTTCCAGCGTAGCATCCAGAGCGCCTGGCAAGTGACAAGAGACATGTTACAGCGTAGCATCCAGATCGTCTGGCAAGTGACAAGGGACATGTTACAGCGTAGCATCCAGAGCGTCTGGCAAGTGACAAGAGACATGTTACAGCGTAGCATCCAGAGCGCCTGGCAAGTGACAAGAGACATGTTACAGCGTAGCATCCAGAGCGTCTGGCAAGTGACAAGGGACATGTTACAGCGTAGCATCCAGAGCGTCTGGCAAGTGACAAGAGACATGTTCCAGCGTAGCATCCAGAGCGTCTGGCAAGTGACAAGAGGCATGTTACAGCGCACCCCTTGCCCCCCCACCCCCCCACCCACCTGGTTCCCCAAGAAAATCACACTATCATTCGTGCAATACTTCTAACTGACGTGCAATACTTCGAACTGACGTGCAATACTTCTAACTGACGTGCAATACTATCAATACTTCTAACTAACGGGCAATACTTCTAACTGACGTGCAATACTTCTTACTAACGGGCAATACTTCTAACTGACGTGCAATACTTCTAATTAACGGGCAATACTTAGAACTTCTAACTGACGTGCAATACTTCTAATTCTAACTAACGGGCAATACTTCTAACTGACGCGCAATACTTCTAACTAACGGGCAATACTTCTAACTGACGTGCAATACTTCTAACTAACGGGCAATACTTCTAACTGACGGGCTGTACTTCTAACTAACCCGCAATACTTCTAACATACGTGCAATACTTCTAACTAACGGGCAGAACTTCTAACTGACGTGCAATGCGACAGGAAAGAAACAGCAAAACCTGCGGGTCCGTTAACAGGGCCGGTAGCACATACACATACACATATGCATATACATTTACACTTACACTTACATTTACATACACACCTACTCACCTTACATTACCTTACCTTGCAATCCTTACATTACATTACATTGCATTTCATTGCGTTGCATTACATGTCATTGCATTACATTAAATTATACACGTTACATTTCACAAATGCGCGTGTATATATATATACACACTATATAATATATCATATATATATATGTATGTATGTGTGTGTGTCACTGTGTATATATATATATATGTGTGTGTGTGTGTGTAAGATGCTGCAAGTGTTCAGTAAAGGACTCCCGAATGCTTCTCTCCCGGTAACTGGCCTGCGGGGCACCGCGATCTTCAGCCGTTGCACTCCATGAGCCTCTGGAACCAGGCTGGCAGCACTCAGGTCCTGCGATCCAAGTCTTCCTGTCTGGTTGACTTAACAAACACGTCACAAACATAGCTCCAGGTTATCTCGAGGTCCTCAGGCATGGTGATGCCCAAATCCTTGGCATCTGGTGCCACCAGGTCAGCCACCTCGGCGTGGAGCGTGGTTCCTCACATCTGTCTGAAAAGATGCATCGTCTTCTGTTCCTGGCCTTCTTGCGCATGTCTTCCGGCAAGCCAGCCAGGAACTCACACAGCAACCGCTCCTCTGAACAGCAAACCATTGTCAGATTTCTCAAGGCACGTAGAGTAGACTCATGAAGCTCTGACAGCTATGATGATTTTGAAGTACTCAGCTGCAATTTTCAACTCGTTGTGGCTGTGGTCTCTCCTTGCGGTTATTTTGGTACTCTTGCCACAAGTTGTACGCAATAAAGAGGGGACCACCTCCACAAACGCCCAAGAATCCAAGTTTCGTGCGATTCAAATCCAAAAAGCCCACCTTCATTGGGACATTTGCTTCCATTTTTGTAAAAGTGCTGGTGAGCATCTTTGCCACAATCCTCGCAGCAGTTTTCATCTATGAACACACTTCTTGAGTGCCAATGTTCAAAACATGTATAGGTGTATGTGTATGCATGCATGCATGCATGCATGCATGCATGTATGTATGTATGTATGTATATATGTATGTGTGTATGTTATGTGTGTATGTTATGTGTGTATGTTATGTGTGTATGTTATGTGTGTATGTTATGTGTGTATGTGTGTATGTATGTATGTATGTAGGTAGGTAGGTAGGTAGGTAGGTATGTATGATACATTATGTATGTATGTATGTATGTATGTATGTATGTTTGTATGTATGTATGTATGTATTTATGTATGTATGTATGTTTGTATGTATGTAGGTAGGTAGGTATGTATGTATGATACATTGTGTATGTATGTATGTATGTATGTATGCATGCATGTATGTATGTATGTAGGTATGTATGTATGTATATCTCTCTGTGTCTTGCTACCTGCCAACCTTCACACAAGCACTCATTGTCTTTCATTATCTCATCATCAATCACTGCCTGCTACTCTTTGTCTTTATCATTATCTGTCTGCATTTGTCTGTATCTATCAACGTTTATCATCATTTATTATTACCTGTCATCATCTATAATCTCTATCAACCAATCGTTGTGCATCAATCTATCATGATCTATCATTGTCTGCCATGGTTTGTCATTATCTATCATGTTCTTTCATTGTCTATCAATATCTATCATTGCCTATCATTATCTATCATTGCCTATTATTCTCTATCATTATATATCTATTGTTCTCTGTCGGTATGTATGCACCATTATCTGTAATTATCTCCCAAGGTGTTTCATTTATCATCACCGTTTATCATGTGTATCTGCAGTTTTCTATCCATCTGCTGTATTTACCTATCGAACGATCGCTTGATTGATCAATTTCGATTTAATTATCGCTCTAGCATGTTCTAGTCATCTATCTTGATCCATCTCCATCCATCTCCATCCATCTCCATCTATTTCCATCTATTTCCATCTATCTCCATCTATCTCCATCTATCTCCATCTATCCATCTTTCTATTGGGGCGTCCTCCAAGCAATATGAGCAGAAGCCACACTTGCAAGCTCCGCAGGTGATTGCGCTACCTGGTGAACAAAGTTGGGAGCTTGCCATAGCTTGCAACTTGCAACTTCAACCAGGCAACTGACTTTGCCCCTTGAGTGGCTTTGCTGAGTGCAAGCAGCTGTGACAAGGTGCAATTGTCGTAGTCCAAGAATGCCATCTTGCAGCGTGGACATTTCAGCGTAAAGATATCGTCAATGATCTTCAGCCGATGCTTGTCCAATTCGAGTTGCTCACCGCCTCAGTCAAGGATTCATAGCACTGCCGCAAATGTAGCAGTGGTACAGACGTAAGTATACTCAAAACATCTCAAAACTCATGGACCTAGATCTTGATAATGAGGCAGCTTGATGTCAGCACCCAACGAACTTGGGCTTGAACTACCAGTTGCTTTTGCAAGTTTATCTTTCAGCTCCTCGATCTTGGCAGTGTTTTCTTTTTCGAAGTGCTCCTGGATGCTTTGCTCCGCGACCTTGATTCTTATCTGCAGGTATTCGTCGAAAACATCCTGCAGCCACTTGGTGGGAGGTGAACAGGTGTTGCTAGCCGAGCTAGCCTGTATTAGCCTGTTCAGGAGGGGAACACAGTAATGCTCAGCACCATTGGAAAACGGTTTGTGGCTTGAGACTCCTGCGGCACAACGGCTGCCAGAACCGAATCGCCAAAGGGCGTCTCTGAGTCCTTCAAGTTGCACAGTGTCAAAGCTTCGGCTCTTTCCAGTTGCAGCACTTCAAGGCTCTATCACTCGACTGCCACCGACTGCCTTGCCTTCATAGGACATAAAGCCCTTCCTTTGGCTTTCCTCAGTACAAGCAAGTGGCTTGTCAATTTGGCCCGAGCCCACCAAGACAGTTTTAGCTGCAGGCTTGCATCTTCTGATCTGCATAATCTGCAGTCTTGAACGCAGTCAGGAAGTTGGCCATGCAGACTTTGCAAAAGAAGTGCTCTTTGCCAGGGCAGCAAATCCCTTCGATTGTGAGGACATCATCAAAGCAGCAATTGCAATCTCGACCTGAGCTCAGCAACGGAATCGGTGGTGCAAAGAAAGTACGCATCGGCGCATCGGCTTTACCAAATGTCTGACCGTGTCTGACTGTCCCAAGTCTTTCACATTCCCCTTCAGCCGCGGCAGGGATTGCAGCAGGGACGGCAGCAGGAGCTGCAGCAGCAGGAGCTGCAGCAGCAGGGGGCAGCGCTTCAGCTTTCTCCTTCGCAGCTGGTGCTGGTTCTGCCGCTTCCGCTGCTTCTGGAGCTGGTGGCATGTCTACATCAGGTGTGAGAGGCTTTACTTCTGTCTCCACAGGTTTGCTTCCTGCGCCACTTCCGCTGGCACTGGCCGAGCTTGCAGCACTGCTTTCACTCGCAGGCATCTCTACGTCATGTGATGACGCTGGTTCCGGCTCTCCAGGTTCATCAGTTTTAAAGTCTGGATCCCCAGGATGTGAAAACCTCATGACGCATGCCGCCGCTGTCGTCTCGGATCTAGCAGCCACAGGACATCCACAAGGACACGCCAAGCTGAGGGACGAGCTTTGCACGGTGAACAGGGTTCTTTTGATAGCAGCCAGCACCATACCTCAATGAAAAAACATGAACAGACCCTTCAGATTCTTTGAACCCACTTGGCTGCCAAAAAATCAGGCCGCGACTTGCACGGCAATCGCTTAGGCTTAGCCTCGCCTGAAGTACGTAGCACAACATGCCTGGTTCTTTTCAACTTGAACTGTTCAAAGGTTGGTTGGTGTGTCGGGTGCTGATGGCTCTGGCTCGTGAGCCTGTCTTGGCTTTTTTGGCCAGTGGCTCCAGGGATGATGCACTTCCCCTGGCTTTGCCTTTGTCACGAAAACGAAGCGGAGTTCAAAGCTTGGAAAGGTTGATCCATTTTGATCCATGTTGATCCTCCTGCCTGGGGAACCAGCACCACGGCTTTTCGCCGCTGGCAAGGCGTCATCCTTGAGTCTACCACACATCTACCACCAGGACGCAAACAACCGGCTGCTTACCTGCATCCCACCGTGGGGTCCGAATTTCCCTTCCTAAGCAAGGTGCGCTCTCCAGAGTCGTTCCAGCTGGAGCTGGCTGAACATGGCGCGCTTTGACAAAGTTCTTGTGACCTCGCCACCTGAGCACAGGGTTCACATCCAAAATCATTTCATTGTCCAAGCTCTTACATTTGTTGCAGCAAATGGCCCGGCCTGCACTCAACCCACCTTTCCACAAGTTTCACAGCCTTTGCACCATTGGGGACGAAGCACACAACATTGCCTGCAACATTGTAAAGGAACTCAAATGGGACACAAATCGCCACACATCTACCCATTCCGCATCAAAATATTCAGGTCGAAGAATGGCAAAAAACTGGCTGGATGCGAGAGGTTGACTTCATAAAACAGCGCAGGTCAATTGAGAAAAGCCAATCGAGTGTATTCGAGTGTCGCCTTTGGATGCATCTTGCTCACAATGCCGGCGCATGCAAGTCTCTGTGTTGCCTCCCGAGCTGCAGAGACGCAGCAACTCAGCAAACAGCTGGCCTTCAGAAAACTTGCCTGCGTAGCTGTCGCGGACCTGAGACTGGAAGCCATCAAAAGAATGAAGCCATGCTAAGCGATGCTGAAGGCAATCAAACGTAACAGTCGTTTGAGATTCTAGATCCTTTATTGTCATTTTTTATTATCATTTATATATTTGTTTATACCTTTGCCATCCTGGCCTCCAGCAAGTCTCCTGGGCTGCTGGAACCCGCTGATGGCAAATTCTTTCCCTTGATGAAACCTGAGGCATTGCGGAAGCGTTGAAACATTCGAACCATACAGCATTGGCTGCGGGCAGCTCTGGCGGCTTCCTTGCCTCCCAGCTTGCCAAACTCGCACTCCACCCATTCCTGCTTGCATGGCCCCGTGATGGGAGATCGACTCTCTCTCTCTCTCCCTCTCTCCCTCCCTCCCTCCCTCCCTCCCTCCTCCCGCCCTCCCTCCCTCCTCCCTCCCTCTCCCGCTATCTCTGTCTTTTCGATCCTTTTATCAACATTTTGCCTGCACATGTTTGCAATATTTTGCAATCATCACTGGGCAAATCGCGGCTGCATCGAAGGTGATTTGGACGTGTCAACCATTTTGACATTTTGGACTAGCACCTCCACCAGCTCCACCAAACTGCCACTTGGAATGTCCTGCGAGTGGCTTGGACTATGGCAGGCGCTCCTTTGATTGAATAGTGATCATGTATGATAATATGATATTGATATTACAATGCCATTTCTATCTTCTTATGCGCTTTCCAACTCATTTCATGCGCTTCACCTGTTTCCAAGCATGGAGTGTGCAACACCCGGTCCCATGCAGCTTCTGCAGAGGGCTTCACCCTTGCTGCCTGCAGATATGTCACAAGTAACCAGCTACAGCAACTATAGCAGTTATACTCCATGGGCGACTTCCAAGGGTTCCAAGTCTTGCACATCACATGAAGCGATGTTGTGCCAATGTGTTGACCATATGAAGCGATGCACATCGATGCACTGGGCCGATCGCCACATCTTCATATCCGTCAGCATTCTTCAGGAGCGCCAGCGCTGGAACCGCCATGATCAGTGTGCCGTCAGGCTGCACCAGGTCTTGAAGACAGAATTCATGATAAATCATGAGAATATCATCTAATTTAGCGTAATCAAATGTAATTAATAAGAGTATTTGACAGTTGTTTGAACTTTCAAAAGAGAGGATGCTAGAGATCTTAGAGGTTACTTACTTGGTCATGCTTGTTCCACCATATACTGCGAGGCGAAGACATGGGAAGGACATGAGTGACACTTGGGCCAAAGGAAAAGGAGCAGGCTGAGTCGTCATCAGGCTTTCTGTCGACCGATCCCTCACGTTGGAATGCAACAGACAATTTTGGCAAACTTGATACAGCTGCAATTACTGCAGGGAAAGGTTTGGCGCACATCTGGGTACAGATATGTGAAAGGAATGGCACAGGGCTGCCAATCTCGAGGAGGAAGATGCATGCCTTTCGCCAATCACGGTAAGGCCCAATAACTAATCCGCCAAAAATCAGACGGCCAAGAACTAGCTGATACCAAGCGCGACCAAAATCAGTGGGCTGGAAGACCAAAAACAGTTCACCCAAGCCCTGTGCTGACCTAGTCTATTTGGAAAACACATACTGAAATATACTCAATTGCCTGCACAACATGCGACGTAGAAGTTCCGCTGCTCCCTCACCAGCATCGCCGCCGTGTGTCCCAACATGTACCTGAACAGAGTTGTGGGGACTGTCGTAGGGATTGAAACTCCAACCGCAAGCTTCAAATAGCTTCAATGCCATGGGGCACCCGAAAGCACAGTCAAAGGCAGAGGGCCTTGGACCGAAACTTGTCAGGTTATGTCAGGTTATGTCAGGTTATGTCAGGTTATGTCAGGTTACTCTTCACGCATAGCTACGCAGCTACGCTCACACCAAAATAAGAAATGGACAATGGCGAGCTGGTCGTGATTTCCATTGCATGGAATCGTGGGGCGAAGCTGGCCTTCACCTTCAAGCCACCCTCCAAGCAGACCACATTCAGTTGAAAGTCCATTTAAGTCATACTGCATGAACCGCATTGGGCCGCACAGCTTGGAAATGTTACTGCTAATTTTGCTCGAGATGTGCCAGAATGTGCCAGCAAGGCCTTCCTCGGTCCAGGCTGGCTCCGAAGTTCTTGCTGCACAAAGCGACCTATGATTCGTTCCTCAAACGTATTGGCCGCGCAACTTGTTTCTGTGATTCTTGCACAAGCCAGTGAGGTGATGGCTTCAAGTGTCCTATGGGTCCTATGGTACAGCGGAGTTGAGGCTTTGGCTGCTTCTAAATCACGTGGCAGTAATGGCTTCCCAGCGGCTTGGCACGCGTGAAAGGGTCGGCTTGCAAAAATGCGACGCGCACGATGAGTACCAAATGCTGCAAGATCCAAAATCCGATGCGATGTTGCTAGGTGTGGGACCATCTCGTCTCCAAATGAGGGATCTTTGCACCTAAAGTGAGTGTGAGAGCTGGCAATATCATATAGAAACGAAGTCCAATTTTTTCGTCTGCAGTCTCAATATGTCTCAATAATTATCAAACACCGACACTCCCGTAGTACTCGTAGGACTATGATGATGAGTTTCAACTTACCAAAAAAACAGCACACGGCTATGTGCAAATCCTGCTGCACGACATTCTATAGAAAAAGTCATGGGAAGTCCAAGTTCAAGCAGCAAAGGCAGCCAATTTGCCCTCTATTAAACTACTAAACACAATGGACAGAATAGATGGAATGGTTCGGTGATGCTTCAGGAATCGCTGAGGATTTGGCCACTCGAGGCAGGCGCTTGAAAAGGGGTCTGATGTTTGCCGGTGGCAGCTGCTGCTCCACCTGGCTTCATGTGGTACCAAAACTGAGACGATGCCACTAACCCCAACATGTAACATGCCTCTTCGAAGCGCGGAAACTGCGCAGGATTCGGACCGACCTGTTCGGACGGCTTCACTCAAGGGAACTGACACTTGACCAACCCATCTCTCCCCATATGGATCCATATGGTACATATCTGTGTGTGTGCAGGTCCGTAATTTTCGCACTACCCAAGTGCCTCTGGGCCAACAATCGAAGATATTGCTGACTTGAGTTCATCCTGCAACGAATCAAATTATTTTGGTTTCTGCAAGCTTCCCAGGAAGCTCAGTTTCAAGCAAGAGTTTCGTGTGACTGTGTGATGTAGATCTGCCCTATTTTCCCTTTCTATTTTATTCCTTTATACACTTGTAATCAGGAGTGTTTGCCTTTAGCCATGTAACACACCCGCCACGACTGCCATCACCACTACAAACGTCACTAGCAGCAGCACCATCAGCTGCTGCGCTGACTGCAGCTCTCACAATTGATATTGCTGTGGGCGCAGCATTTTCTTTCAGTTATATAACTTCAGGCTATGCAGCAAGTCGCGCAGCAATGACACAAAACCAACACTAGTGCAGGCATTAAGAAAGCTGCACTTGTGGCTTGGTCTGACAATGCATTTTGATATGTCCAACCGGATGCTTGATTGCCCACGGCCGAACTGAAACACCAAAAAACTAAAAATTGACGAGGATCAGAAGAAAAAATACAGGCATGCAATGTCATTGCTTCACACATCTTTCTTGGAAGTCTGTTGTGCACCGGTCAGTCCATGTCCAGTGATGGTCAGTCTTCTGGCTGAATCTCTCTTTCTCTCTCTCTCTCTCTCTTTCTGCACATATGCTCGCATTGAACTCAAGACCGTGCAAGAAACAAGCTGAGGTCCCTATATACGAGCACGTTGTTGCATGGCACCACTGTAGGCACAAGAGGCGGCAAAGCAAATGAAATGCGGTCCATCTCTGGCAAGGTCTCAATGAACTGGCGGCTAATGAGCACAACCTCACATGCTCCGCTTGAGATGAAAGTCAATATTTGAAGACCGGACTCAGGACTGCAAAACTCCAAACACCACACGAATACACAACTACCTTTTTATACAGACTGTGCTTCCTTTCTCATAGATGACACATCTTCAAATAGAAGGTGCTCCACCATGAAAACCAGTGTGATTCCTTTTTGCTTGAAGTTAGCAATGATTTATTTCGAACACTTCTCTCAGAGAACTTCTCTCCTATTGTTTGGTGACAAAGATTGACAAAGTGTCTCTAGTCACTTTGATAGCTTTGATAGCATACCAGTCACAGGCTTTGGTGGTCGGCGGTTTTTGGTCCAAGGCCCGCACCCCAGAGTGGCGTCCAGCTTTACGCCTTCTCCGAATCACCTTTGGCATGATTCATTTGGCACGCCCAGGAGGTAGAAGCGTGAGTGAGATAGAAGGAAACCATAAAACCTATAAATATAAATATGATATCCCATATCCCAAACATATGTTAATGTGAGAAAAATACATATCTTTAAATATGTTACCATTACCACATAGTGCCCGGCCGCGCCGGGGCGGAAGTTTCGAGAAACTGTAATGGCTATAGGAAGAAGATTGCCTGTAAGAAGCGTGGTGAGCTGATGCCGCTCTGACATGAAAGCATTGCCGGAAAATGCCGGAAAAACATAATTGAATGAATGACTCCGGAAATAAATGAAAGATCAAGGGATGAATGAATGGAGGAATGAATGAAGGAGGGAAGGAATGGATGAATGAAGGAAGGAATGGATGAATGAAGGTGGGAAATTGCATGAATTTGGTCCGTAACTTCGGAAGATTTGTTGAAGAAGTAAGTGGTTTGTCCAGGATCGAACGACAAATTTCAGGGAATGAGAGCTCGCAAAAGAACGAATTCGTGACAAAAACCAGCCGTCTGAATGATCGAAGGAAGAAAGAAAGAAAGAATCGCTCAAAGAGTGAATGGGCACATTACTGATATGACTGTATGAGTGAACGATTGCGTGAATGAATGAAGGAATGAAAGAAGGAAGGAAGGAAGGAATGACTGAATCAATGAGTGACGGAAGGAGGGAAGGATCGAATAAGCAAATTTGGTTCGGAACTCGGAAGCTGCATCCCTGTAAATTCCGTCCGTATCTTGGATGATGCACGGAAGGAGGGATTCGCGCACTTGCAAGGTTTCACCCGCCTACCGACCTGTTGTTGACATGATGGACATTTGTCTGTAATTCAGAAGTTTCCGAGCTAAACTCCCTTTCATAATATGAAAAACTGAGTATATAAATATGTTGAGTAGTAGGAGATAAGAGTACACATGTCCAGTACTTGCTCGGGTCTGCACCTCAGAAATTTCGCTGACCACTTGACTTAGTCCATCCTGCAGGCCCAGGATTTCAGTAGATTTCAGTCATAATCGCACCAGCCGCAAACATCCGCAACGCACCAAACAATGTCAAGGGAGCCCACAGGAGTCCAAGGGATTCCTTTGTCGTCTCGTTCTCATTGGCGTCAGTCATTCCAGCCGTGCTTGTTAAGACCTCAGTCGCCCATGAGACCTCGCCGCTGCATGAAAGTTAGAACTGCATGGCAGCACACGCTTCCAGTTCCACTGGAGTCTGTGTTGCAGGCAGAGAATGTGCAACGTGTCTGCAGCGCAACTTCCAGTGTAAGGGCATCCTGAAAGAGTTCAAATCTGCAAGGATGGTCCTGTTGCCTGAAACAGGCAGCACCAGTGTCCTCTCCGCACCTGATGAAGTGCCAGTACCTCAACAAATCAAAGCAAGGCCAATATTTCAGAAGCAGCAGCCCAACGCATTCAAGGGACTTGTTCGAGCTGAGCGAGTCCACGAAAATGTTGCCTGCCACCTATTGGACAATGACACAACGAGCCCAATCAAACATGCGAACACCTTGAACATTGCTCCAAAGATCATTAGCTGATTAGCTAAACTGCACCTCGCTCAGAAGTCTTCGAGCTGTGTCGAACCCAAGAGTCACGGCTAAATACCTCAAGTCATTTTCGAATCAGGAGGAGTCATAGGCCTGACATGTTGCCGACGCACAGCTAGGAGGGCCCACCGTGGCACATAAAGGTTGACGTGCTTGCCTTATCAGAGACAGATGAACAAATTCCACATATAGCACAGATTGATTGATAAGGATTTCTCCGTACAGCGCACAACTTTTGTCCCGATCCATCCACTTTGGAAATCTACCACACCCGAGTTTCACCCTCCACCAACAAGGCTGAACTGCCAACTCCTCAAGTCTCAAAAGTTGCAGCAACAAATCTCAGGCACTGTTTTCTCAGCCAAGGCTGTAGCTGTGCGGCACGCCAATGATTTTGGTCTGACACAATTCCTGCCAAAATGATGTCACGATATGGCACATGTAATATACACATCACCGGACAATGATTCAGCTGGTACTGGCCGCCTCCTCGACAAAGCAGGTAGCCAAGGTGGCTGCCCATGACAAATCCTCCAAGACTCTACTGACTCTACTGACTCTACTGGCTCTACTGACTCTACTGACTCGACTGGCTCTACTGACTCTGGGTGTTTGAGGAAAGAATCAGAAAGCATTGATGGCCTTGGGCCCGGCAATCATGACCTCAAAGCTCAGATGGAGGAAAGGGGCCTTGAAACTGTTCGTTTTTTGATTGTTTGTTCACGCATTGTTTTTTCATTCATTCGTTCGTTCCTTCGTTCGTTCGTTCTTTTGTTTATATATGTGTTGATTCATAATGGTTCGTATATCGATTGATGACATTGGTTGATTCAATGATTGATCATGATTGATCATCGAAGGAAGTTTAGAAGTCAAACTTCCGACAATATGGACAGATGAAAAGCAGAGTAGGGCAGAGGCAGAGAGAAGAGAAAGATTAGAAGAGAGAAGAGTAGAAGAGAAAGAGTAAGAGGACAGAAGATACAGATGCGCGAAAAGGGAGGAAAGTCGCGAAACACTGTGTTTTTCCAATGATTTGTGGCTCAGGAGGGTCGAAAAGTAGGCTCGCTAAAGCGGCGGGTGCGGAGCCAGCTGGCCACAGGAGCGATGAAAAATTGCACGCCGTTGTGGCGCGAAGCACATTTCCAAGTCAAAAGTGTTAAAAACTGGCGGTCTCGGACCACTTTTGGAGGTTCAGATGTCGAAAAAGTGTACGCCGTTGTGGCGCGAAGCAGATTTCGAAGTCAAAATGTACAAAACACACCATGTACGAACCATTTTTGGAGGTTCAGAAGTCGTTTCGCGTTTCACACTACACTCCAATACATTACACTACACTACAACTACAACTACAACTACAACTACACTTCACGACATTCTACTACACTACACTTCACTACACCCCACTACACTACACTGCACTCAAGTACACTCAATTACACTACACTACACTACATTACACTACACTACACTCCACTACACTACACTTCACCTACACCTACAACTACACTCCACTACACTCCACTACACCACTCTACATTACACTACACTACATTACACTGAATGACACTGCACCACAGATAGACAGGTAGACAGATAGATAGATAGATAGATAGATAGACAGATAGATAGATAGATAGGTACTTAGATGACAGAGAGAGAGAGATAGATCGATAGGTAAATACATACATAGATAGGTAGGTAGGTAGGTACATAGTCAGAGAAAGAGAGAGAAAGAGAGGAGACCTCAACGACCTTTCGGTCCATCAGTGGCTTCGCTCTGCCATCCCTGATTCACAACAACCAAGCTCTCCTATAGGTTTCCTATTTTTGAAACTTCCGCCACCGCCTTGTGCGGTACTACTGGTATGAGAGTAAAACACATAGATCATCATTGATCAGATCATCATAGACCATCTCTACGACTGTAGTGCGACTCTACCATTGGACTTTCACAACTCAAAGGAGCAATGTCTGTTGGCACTCAGAGGCGCATCACCTCCACAAGCTGCAATTCAAAGGCTCAGGAGGCCACGAGAGTGTCCAAACCTCCACTGAGGTCACATGCCACAATCGCACACAAGTCGCACAAGTCACCGTCCTCACCATTCCTCACCATTTTTGACCAAATTAAGCACATTGAGTCACATTGAGGAGGGGGCGTTGCTCTTGGCAAACCTTTGCTGCTGCTATCGCTTCCTGCCATCAATTTCATACAGGCGAAGGATTGGAAGGCGAGGAATCCTGACGAAGGATCGGAAGCTTCTTTCCTCGCTTTCTGTTTTTTCCTGCTTTGTGCTGCGCATTCCGAGTCCCAAGATGTCTCAGGCCTCTTTCCGCCTCTCTTTCTCGTAGCTGCCATCGCGGCAGCTTCCATGACTCAACCTTTCACATGGTGTGCAAACTAGTGTAATGAGATTGATTTGGATCACCATGATTTCACATGTCAGACCTGTCAGACCTGTAAGACCTGTCAGACCTGTCAGACCTGTCAGACCTGTCAGAACTAGAATCCGGTGTGCTCAGCATCTGAAAAGGCTGCTGGCATGCTAGGCTCGGTACAGCTTCCACGAACCAAGGTTCAAGCTAGCTTTGATCTGGCATTGTCATTCAAATCCGCACAGCTCTTCGAAAAGGCTAGCTCTGTGTGACTTGCCTCTTTTGCTGTGAGTTCCTTGCAGCGACCTTGGAGCAAACCTTCCGGGCCTTGGGTTGGAAACAGGACCAGGTACAATCCACAAAATCGGAATTCGGTCAGGAACTGGAGGTGGTAAGCTGCAGAACCTCCAAGGAAGCCAATCAACTTGGATCCAGGATTGAGCGCCTTAGAAAACAGCAATAAGCCAAATAATTCCCAAATCAAAGATTCCCAGCACCACGTTCACCGGGTTTGCGGCCATCAAACATTCATGAAGTCCAACGATCACCTTGAAGGTTGGGGTCAAATGGTCTGATCCACCTCATCTATGTAATGAGGGTTTTCGATTTAGTTGTAACATGCTGTAACAGATTGTAACCGTGATTAACCCATCTCTTTGCAACTGAGCATCATTGGTTGGATACGATGGCAGGCAGGTCCTGGGACAAGCTTCATGCTCTTAACATTGTCGGATGCTGGCGCGCTGCAGCCCTGAGATCACCGCAGCTCGCCAGCGATCACCACACCAACGCGCAAGGCCCTTCCCAAATCGTCGATGGCAGAAAGCGTCACAGCTTCTCCGATCTTTTGATTTTCTTTTTTTAACAAAAAATAACAGCAAGTACGAGCAGGAATCCAATGCTTGTTCATTAGGCAGTCCCCAAGGATTTGTAAATTGAGGCTTGATGTTTGAAAATGTTTGAAGGTGAGCACTGTGTTTATGATCTGAAATCTGACTGGATCTGTGTGACACATTATATCTAACACCACAAAACATAAGATATAATGTAGGGTAATGTAGGACCTTCAGGTTCGCAAGCATCGCATCAGCCATTGGGAACATCAAGCAGCAATTGGATGCACAAGAGTCGCGCCCAAGCCTTGGCTCGGAGTCCGGGCCTCAAGCGCTGCAGCCATGGGCGATGAAACGTCTAAGTTACACCGCCCTGCAGGGGCCCTGCACCCCTGTGCAGTGCAACTTTTTACACCACATCACAAACATCACCACATCCAGAGGACTGGCCGGGAAAAAGTATGAAGCAGTCGAAGCAGTCATCAAGATACGAAGCGATCCGAAGTCACCAGCTTTCCTGGGGATGTTGCTTCGTTGCGCCGGCTGCCCAGAGGCAGATCCTAGGCAAACAAGCACGGCCATCAGGGTCAGATTGATTGCAAGATATGTTGCACGGCATTGCCTGCCTTGAGGTTGCAGGATGAGTGGCTTTAAACCAGCAAACCTGGTAGCCAGAGAAACCACGAATGGTCTGAACTGCTAATGGTCTCAGCATCACACACCACACGAGCTCCCAAGGCTCAAGCACGGGGAAGAGGTCAGCATGCTTGAAGCTTTCCGGATCCTCTCGAAACCTCAAAGGAGGCCGGCAAGTGGCGGGCATTTTCAGAATGACGTGCTCTCTCGAGCAACTAAGTGCTTGAAAGGACAAACTGATCTACAGCACCAAGGCATTTCCTGTTGTCAACTTTTTGACCCGGTATAGTTTATATTGTTTATATATGCTTATATATTAATATAAATTATATAAGTATGTTTCAGGGTTTGTACTCTTTGGGGGAGGGCGTTCATTCCACAGCAGTTGAACACAAACGTTATCACTGGGCTTGTGAAACGATGACAACTTCTGTGAAACGTGCACAGCATCTCTGAAACATGATAAAGAACTCTTGAACAGACTATGCCCTTTTGACCTTTGGCCTAAGATCCTGCAGGGGGGCATGATTTTGATTGATTTTGCCTTCATCTGGCGGTTGCCTTCGCGTGTTCTTCTGTTGGTGAAAGATAGGGTTTTAAATAGAACGTGTTCCAAATCAGAACGGAAGCCACCTGATGGTGAAGCCTGAGCTGACTGCTTTGGAGCATCTTGAAGGTTGCCGAAAACACCCGGCCTCACAATGTAGCAGCATGCCGAAGAGGCCCCACCAAAACAAGACACACTGTGGATGTGTAGATTGTGTAGATGGTGGACATGTCGACTCATCCGGCCACAGTCTACAAAACATCGGTTGGCTTCCTCTCGCTGACACATGCCAAACAGCGTGCCCAAAGGGAACGCTAGCCATGGATACCGATTTAATCTGTAACTCCAAAAACAAAATTCACAATCTTCGTATCTTCGAATCTTCGACTTGCTTCCAGCTTTTGGGTCCCATGAGAGCCCTACAGCGGAGGCACGACGTGAGCCCTCTGCTCCTTCGAAACTGCACAGAAAGCTCGGAACTCCCTACGACGAACCACCAAACATCTACGTACAGTGTGTATGTGTGCGTGCGCGTGCTGCAGCCCACCATCCAACAGTTCAACAACATCAAGCTGCTCCTTGAGCTTTTCACCCTGGCCTACTGCAGATGCCATTCAACCTTCAACTTTCGCAGGCAAAGTGGGGACCCTTGTGGTGCCATCCTATCACAGCAGTCATGACTGGGCAGCAGACAACCGGTGTAGAAGGCGCACTTTTCAAAGGCACTTTCTTGCAGTTGCAGGAGACATGGGTAGCACGAAGGAACCCAAGGCTCAGCAACACGCTGAGACTGGCCAAGACATAATCACAAGTGACTGACCGCAACACCTGAGCCAAAACGTCAGTGGCGGCATAGCGTGTTGCGTCAGTAAGCGCACTGCGCTTCACCGGCAACCACAGAAACCTGTCAGTACCAACAGGAGAGTGACTCAATATTGGTGCTGACAGATATAATTACAAGTTTTGAACCCTTTCCCCTTCCTTCACACAAGAATTCACATTACTGAAGTGTGCAAAAACTGCACATGAGAAGGATTCACGCAAGCGACCAAGGATCCCGATCCTCTGTCTTTTCACACACCCGGTCACCCGGAGGACTTTGATGTGCGGCTGTGACAATATCTGTGAAACTACAGCAAAGAAAATTAAGATCTTATTGAAGTCTTATTGGACTGGAAGAGAGGCTGCTCGCCCACAACAATTCCAGTGATTTGCAGTGCTCTCCTCTTCAGCGCAAGTGTGACGTGACTTAAGCAGTGAATTGGACTGGCCCCTTGCCAACCAACTCACAAAAAAGCTACTCACAAGCGCCCCAACAAGGCGGATTCGAAGTTGCGCCGAAGGATGCGTTTGCAGCCTGCCAGGACCTGTGAAGCAATCATTTGGCGCAAGGCAAACACCACGAGCGCAAGGTGTTCAGAACTGAGGCTCTTGCACCTTCAGAATTATTCAGGGACGACGCCCCTGCTTTCTCGATAGCGGATGGGTTTCACTGCCTGATGATCGGAAAAACTGTGCACATTAGATCAAATGAGTCCATATTCGAAGCTTCAGCCTTCCCACTTGACTGGTCATGCAGCATTTTTTCCAGGTGCTTATTGTGTTTTGCCGTATATGCATGCAGATATGTACAGTATATCTAGATATAATTACATGTACAATTGAATGTATATATATATATATTGTTTATTTATATATATATAATATATATATATATATAATGTCTAGGTGTGCCTGTCTGTAACCTTGTATGTACATCCATATCTAGGTCTGTGTAACATACGGGTATTGTATGACTTTGCCTGTCTTTGCCGCCTATATACTATGTACTAATAATATGTTGATATAGTTTGTGTATATTCGTGCTTACATGATGTGTGACACATCTAGAAAGGACTTCCGGTTCTCCATGTCCTCTTTATGCAGCCCTGAATGCAGCAAATCTGCCTTCGTTGGTGATGGAAATGGTGCTCGCACCCCATTCTCGAAGACAAGTGGCTGGTACCTAAGGCATTGCTCTCGTTCCCCATCTCTTGTTCAGCACGGCACATGTGATCTTCAAACTGATGAATGAGCTGCAGCACACAGCGTGATGTTATAAAGGGCACTTGTCCTCCATGCTCATAACATTGCTGTTCCGATAGTACTCGACGTTGGCTGCCCTGCAAAGTTTCTTGCACAGTCACCAGATCTACCCAAAGACACCCAAAGCATGGAGTGTCTGTTGCTTGTTCAGTCAGCCAGCCAAGCAGCCAGCCAGTCAATCAGTGAGTCGGTCAGAGAGTCCAAGAGTCAGTGAATGAGTCAGCAAGTGAGTCAGTCAGCCAGTCATTGATCCAATCAACAATCACTCAATTAAATTATCATTCAATGAATTAATCAATCAATTCATCCAATCAGTCAATAAATCCAATCGAATCGGATCGAATCGAACCGAATCAAATCAAGCAACCAACCAGCCAACCAGCCAACCAGCCAACCAACCAATCAATCAATCAAGCAATACATCAATACATCAATACATGAAGAAATGATTAGACATGCATGAATAAATTGATAAGTACATAGTAGGCTGAATATACCTGCTCCTAGCACAACTTTTGGAGGTGTGCACGACGCACAGATCCCCACCCAGATGCAAACAAACAGGTGCACACGCGGGATGGGTGGGGCGGATGGTGAGCAAAACGGGAAGGCTGGGTATCAAGAAACGCAAATGGATAGATCCATGATGCATCGATGAATACATGGGCAAAGAACGGATGGATCCATGGATCTCATGAATTGATAATAAAGTCGTGCATGGATGATTGGAATGATGGATTGGGTATATTGATTGTTTGAAGAAACGGGGATCCCTGCTTTACTCAGGCGAGAGGCTCCACCCTCCACATCTTCAAGTGTATGGAGGCAGGCGCTCAAGCCAGAACTGTTGTGTTGTGGCTGCCACAGAGAGCGAGCTTCATTCTACGGGGCTCGACATCTGTAATTGTCCCCTAGCATTTGGACCTTTTGGTTTTTGATGGTTTTTGCACCATCCAACTGACATCCTCACTGCCTAAGTCTAGGCCCTAGGCCGACGACAAGTAACTGATGTGGGAACTTGGGCGAAGGTGCTAGATTGAAAGCTCAGGACAAATCAAACAAACAGAAACCACTCAACATAGGGCGCCAGAAACTGAAAGATTAGTCATTTTCGGCCAGGGCGTCCCAAAGGACTTGCCCTACCCCCTCCACATTACACGCATCTTGGTCGAGGAAAGTGCCTCCAGTTTTGTATGAACATTAAAAAACCAAAACACAGCAGATTTACAGTGAAGGAAGCTCCGCATACGAGAATTTCAAGAATGAAGATACAGATGATACAGGATATGCTTTTATCGGAAGCTCAGTGCAAACCGCATGTGATACACACAGCTTCATCAGTGCCTTCCCTGCGTAGTTGCAGGAGCAACAGCGCAAATCTTCTTGCTCCGATCTCCAGCGAGTGCTAAGCCCTGCAACACAAGGAAGCAATGTCAGTGTAGCAGCTTTGAGGCACACCGAGCTACTTCCCTTTTAAGCTATTCATTGTTCTTATTGTATGACCACTAGCCCGCTAGAAAAGAAAGATTCGTTTCAACTTTCAACTCAACTTACATTCTCCCTTGTCACAATCGCAGCTGTCAAAACAAACTAACTGTGCACCTGATAAGTAGAGCGGAATTGCTCCGCATAGATGGGTGTACCCAAATTGATGAATGCGTACCTGCATTTTTCGCTGCAGCCACCAAGCAAAAATCCTGGAAACCATTGAAAACCTTTGGAAACCTGTTTCAGGCTTAAGCTGCTTCAATTTGCTTCATATTATAGAAAATCATTACTTCAAGAAGTATTTCCCAATTTCTGGCCAACTCCCAATTCTTAGTGGAGACCCATCGGTTCTCAAAGAAAGATACCCCCATCGGGCAGCTGACGCCTTGTGTTCGGTATATAAATACCCGAGCAGGGGGGCATACCATAACACATGTTTCCAACCTCACACACTGGGGAATAGCGAATACCATAGTTGACAATTTTTCCCACTATAATCACCAGCAAGACATTTGCCAATTCACTTCGAGACCAGTTTGAAGACCAAAGGGGTTTATCACCATTTATCTCGCTGGCAGTCCGAGGCACCCAAGATTGTTATCTGTCTGGAAGTCGATGGGCAAGTAAAAAAAATCATATTTTCCTTAGAAGCAGAGGTATTCCAGGTCCTAGCCTGGAGGACATAAAAGTGATACATAGTGATACTATGTCACTATGATGTCACGGTCACTATGACTAGACTGGCTCTGGTAAGGCACCAACCTCTGAAGCCTCTGGCCTTGCATATTGGGATGGCCGTGCTAAAAAATAAGAAGCACCATTGCCCGGGCCAAAGCGTGCTCAATCATTGCGTGCACATCTGCAGTACACCTCTCTAGTTAGCATATTTGAATTCTCCACAGTATAGTTCAAGTGCTTCTTTTTGATGGGAATGACTTGGGCACACTTGCGTTTTTTGCAACTGTGCTCTAGGCATCAAAATCTGCCAGTAGGGATTCGCGATTGAACGTCACCTCAAAGGTAGGAAAGTTCAGTGACAGAATGTTTGGGCATCAGTAATCAGTGGAGCATGCGAGAAGATATCCAAAGCAGGGATGCGAACCGGAATGTTGCGCAGCATCAACCTGATAGCGACGTAAAGGGTTTGAGAACTGTTTGTAAACCAGTCGAGACTCTGATTGAGATTGTGCACTCGCCCTGATGTCTAAGCATGTCTGCCCCAAACAAGACCTAATCAGGGAGAAAGGCAACATGTCTTGTTTCACACAAAAGGGGGGACCAACAAGGAAACAACCGAGTTAAACTCCCCACCATCAAAATCAGCAAGTGCAAACCCTTTTACGCTATGCACTTGAGCCATACCATCGGTAGGCGCTAATGAACCCTACCTAAACATGGCTACTACCCCATTAGGTTACCGCTTTTAACCTTGGGGTTATTTACATTGAAATGACTGTACAATCCATTAGCAATCCATTAGAGTGTTGGTCAAATAGCTACAGTAAGGAGTGAACTATTACTAGTATATACAGTGGTGGTATAGGGGTCGTAATATTTCTACTCCCCCCTACCCTATCCTACGCTCGCAACTAGTGTACAGGTTAGGGCGCTAGGAAGCTGCCCCTCCCTTGGACTTTAGTTCACTACCTAAATCTACGCGGATGCCAAGCAAGCGCAGTGCCGGGGCCCACTTTTGGGGTGGCAACGCCTTCGTAAAAATGTCTGCAGCCTGACTGTCGGTCTGACCGTATTCAAGCTCGGCGGAATCGTCTCGAAAGACTTCGGAAAGGCCGGACAGATTTACTTTATGGGTGCGAGTGATATGCCTAAGCTTAGGGGAATAACCTTTACGTACTACCAGGATGGTAGCTTGGTTATCTTCTAAAACTCTAAGCGTCACTGTGCGCCCTAGGAGAAGCTCCCAGAGTTGCAGGGCCGGCAGGCCTTCTTGGTAAAGGGAATAAGCCAATGAAACCACTTCAGACTCTGTTGTAGAACGGGATGTGGATGTTTGGCGTTTGCTAACCCACGCAAGGGGGAAGAAGGAGTTAGGCCCATATAGAACTAAATACCCACCGGATGTGGATTTTCCACTAAGACGATCACCGGCGAAATCTGCGTCAACATATAAACGTAACTCAAGATCTTCGGGATTATCTTTGATGGTACCCACTAGACGGTATTGGGGTGTAGAGTCTATGTATTGAATGAGTCTTAACAACCTCTTATCGTCCCCCCTGGACCAAGACTGCACTTTAGTGGCTAAATCATTTATGGGTTTGATTATATCAGGTCTGGACAGCCGACCAAGCCACAACGCCTTCATAAGAATGCGGCATGCATTGGGTGCCAGTTCGCCTTTAGCCTCCTCATCTTCAACAGAGACAGAACCATCAGGTACAAAAGGAGTGGCAGCATGCTTCAAACTTTTGGTGTTGGTGATGGACTTATAAAGATCAACTGTTTGGTGTGCATAATCTAGCATGTCAAAGACTAAGGCTTCTTGTGCGCGAAACGCAGCACATTCCTCGGAACCCTCGGTTTTGGGCAATGGCATTACTAGATGATTGCGACCTAAAATTCGGTATATTGGTTCAGGTGGTTCAATATCCACAACAGATGTCAGCTTTGCCCAGAAGGCATCATGTTGGTCGGTGGGACCAGCAAGCGTGAGATCATCTACATAGGTGGAAAGCAACAACTTAGTATCTGGGAAAAAGAAGTTACCAGGGTATGCAGGTACCTCTTGGCCACCTAGGTTGCGGATAATTTTCTTTAAGTGCTGCTCCCAAAGGCCACCGGCGTCAGGGTGACCATATAAGGCTTTAACTAGGAGGACTACAGGTTTAACAAACTTATCTCGCCAATGTTTTGGTCTCAGCTCAGGCGGGAGTTCTATCCAGGTCTTGTACTTTGAAGACAGGAGTGCTTGAACGTAAGCCTTTACAGCATCGGCTGCGGATGAGCTGTTACCTGGCAGGGAACCGTATGCCAAACAAGCATTCAAACCTTGGACCGAAGTCGGGTTTGCCCCTAGCTCCTGGTAGACCGCTGCAGCGCCATGTTCATCCTTTGCGCAGTCGCCCCTATAGACGATCCTGCCCTTCATCTTTTGCAGGTGCTGCGCAAGCTCGAAGAATTTAATGGACGCTATGGTCATGAGTTGCCCGAAATGAACGGACACTCCTGTGCGCTTGGCCTCGGCGCGTACATCTTCCTTTTCCCGAACGGAATCAAGTGACCACGTTCCTGCCTTGATCAGTCCGTCGGCCTCGGCCTTAACAGCATCAAGGGCTTGGGGGTTGGATAACATCTCGGCCCTAGAAAGCAACTTAGTTACCATAGCTTGAACCTCTTTGGAAGGTTCATTGTTATCTTCATGCCCGAAGGCTTGTGACAACAAACGCTCATGGTCTAGAAGCTCCGACACTAAACAGTTTACTGTTGGATCTGTTTCAATGGCAACTGCAAGATCCTCAAAACCAGCTAGTGGGGACACATGTTTAAGATGTTGTTCAACTTCGCGGTGCTCTTGGGGTTCGGTTGAAAGTGGAGCGCATGGCATTGCGGGAGCATGTTGTTGAGAACACTTAGCAGGGTACAGCGCTTGGGTAATCAAAAATGCCATCTCTGCAGGATACATAGCTGATCGCGCCGTTTCCGAACCTTCACACTTTTCATGTGGCTGTTCACAACTGCACTTTTTGTTTTTAAAAACATCTACTATCCTTTGGGAAGTGGTTCGGACTCTCCAAGGCTTTTTGATGGGAACACCTTTCTTGGACTTAAGACCTACTGCACAACCATCGAAATCGACTTCCATAAACTCAGGGTGAGAATTAAAGAAAGCTACGACATCTGGTCTCTTCCAGCCAGTTGAGGGACGTGGCCATTCAAAAGAAACAGTGCCTCCTAGTTTCAAAACTAATTCAGCCCTTTTGGCAAAGCTTTTGAAAAGTCGTTTCGATTCACGAAGTTGGAGCGCTAACCTTTTCATATAAGCAGCTCCTCCCTTCTTTCTATTGATATACTGCCAAGGAGAACCAGACGTGCATGGTATTGACGACCAAAGGTTAGGTGGTGCAACTTTTGCGGCTTCACCTATTTGATAATCAAGTTGGGAACATTGATTTTCATCACTTAAGTCTATCCTTTCCTTGCATAACCCAATGTGATTTACGTTACATTGCTCACTTGTCAACCCAAGCTGTGAGTTGAGGGAACATGCAAACTCAAACAGTGTTGACTTCTCATTGGACCTCTGGCTTTTCTTCAAGGCACGTCGTTTACGACGGTTATTGTTATTCTTAGGAGGCTGATTAACTGAGGGGCATGCAGGCACGGGCTGTGCACCGAACACTGGCAAGGAATCCCTACATAACTCAGCACAACTGGGAGCAGTCTGGGGCAAAGTGGCAGCACCAGAGACGCTATAAGGAACAGCAATTGTGATTTCACCTTCATCATCAAATACACTGTCCTCCAGTGGTGGCTCCACGGGGGCATCCTCAAGCGCACTAGGAACCTCGCTGGGAGGTTCTGCAACTACCGACTCCGATATGGGCTTTGACTTGGCTTCCAGCTCCTTTTCTTCATCAACTAGTTTCTGGAACCGTTTACGGCACTCTGCATTATGGTACCGAGTCTTATTCTTACACCCTGTACAACCGGGAGTCTCCTTAAACTTTATAATGCGGTCTAAGGTGATATAAACCGATCTAGGTTTGGGACCGGGTGTAGATGGGGAAGCTAAACCGCCGTCTGGTGGAAACGGAACATTTTGCAGGGCTATCTCAGGAAGTTTAACATCATCGGGATCATCCCCCCTGATTAAGGCCTGATGCTTCGAAAAACCGACGGGAAAATAGGCATCACCATCTGGAAGGTATAGTTCAGGCTCGGGTACATCGGAAACACATGAAGCACCTCTAGTTCGAAACTCTTGATAATCTAATATCCGAACAACATATCTGTAACGAAAACCAGAATCGATTCGCCAACCAAGAAACAAACCAGGAGCCATGTTGGGTTCTAAGGTCCTTTTTGTTGGATGCTTCTTGCGATAGTACACAAGTTGACCAAAACACAAACGCTTACCATCAAACTTTTCACGTGTAAGAGCTTCCCATTGGGTCTTTTCAGAGTCCACAATAGAAGGTCTATCGAAAGTCATGGAAAGACATGCGTATGGGTAACTATAAGTGTGATACTCATAAGGCAAACCAGATTGTAAGTGAACAACCCTGCAACACTCCTTCTCTTCCCGGATGTCGCGCTCTAACAGAGCATTGTGCGGCCAACGGTTAGGAAGGGACGTCTCAGGAACGAAGCCGACCTGATGGGCAGCCTGCTCCAATTCCTGTGCTTCGTCCATTTTGATAAGAGTATGGGTTGCAAGTTCATTGGCTTTCAATCCCACGAAATGTCGAAAATTTTTGGCATGTGATTCAACATCTCTTTTTGATAGGGGATATGCTATTCGTGCACCGGAATAAAGGTCCCTTACCACATGGTGTGTTTTAACCCCTCCTATTCCCGTTCCAAAATGCTCAGACCCTTTTGCAAGGATAACATCATCAGTGGCCAATTGCTCAAAAGGTTGTTTTGGTGGATCAATCTTATCATCGGACTTACCATCCTTAACATGAGAGACCCGCATTGCAGTATCCTTAGCAATATGGCATAATGGGCAATGTGGATTTTTGGGGTAGTGAGTCAAAAGATGCTCTAAGCTAGTGGCTTCCTTTTTCAAGACTTCATCTTTGATAGGGATACCATCACCTAACTCAACAAGCAACTTATCATCTAAAGGGTGCGGTGGCGCGCTAGGAGCAGCACCTTCCGGTACACTTGCATGTGGGCTGCTGGATGCAGCTGCATCTTTTGGATCATCGGCCTCAGCAACTTCTTCAAGTCGTGCGACATCTTGGCCTGCAAAACTAGGCGAATAACCAGAATCCTCATCCGGCAAAGGATCAGCTGGGAGAGCTGTGGAAACTGGGGTTAACCTTTCTGCTGGAACAAAGTTACGCGGACTAAGTTGTTCATCGTATTGGGGAACATATTCAACAACACGTGAGGCACAAATCCTAGCATTGCGGGGAACCTTAAGTTTGCATCTATT